TTGCTATCTTGTCAACTAATGATATTTTTTAAGATATAAGCTCACCCCGAGGATACACTCATGGAGACCTTTCATTTGAGTACCCACATCAACTTTTCATATATTTATATATATTGTATATATGTATAATGAAAAATATATCAAAAATGCATGTGGGTACTCAAATGAAAGCTCTTGATGAGTGTAACATCGGGATGAGCTTATATCTTTAAAAACGTCAATAGTTAAGAAAGTACAGTGCAATTCAACAAAATTCATTATATTTAATAAAGCAAAATTTTTTTTATCTATAGTTCACAAGTCACGGAAGTCTTATAGTGATTGCAAAGTTGCTAGTTCACATTATTTTTATAAATTTCTACAATCAAAATTAAAAAAAAATTTTTTTTTCATAATTTACTCATAAAAAAAATAATCAAACGTCTGTAAATTAGTCTACAATTTTTTTCTAATTATAATAATAAAATAAATAAATTACCTGTCATGAAATACTTCTTTTTTAACATGAAAATTCTGAGTACTCAATGCAATATTAACAGTCCCACCTCCATAATAAATTTTTTTCAACATTCCAGCGCTGGAATTTCTAACAATCAAAGCACCGAGACCAGTAGGGTACCCGAACATTTTATAAAAAGAAAGTACAACAAAATCTGGTTTGTATACAGACAAATCCAGGACATTGGTACCTACGAAAGCAGCCGCATCAACCAGCACAAACCAGTTTGAGTTTCCATCTTGATCCAGCGCTCCTCTATGCACTTTTTCAATCCACTCTAAAGGGTATTTGTATCCAGAAAAATTGCACTGTGCTGAATAAACAAACAAGCTATTACTTTTCTTGTCACTGTTTATTCTTACCGCTGATCTGTCAGCAGAAAAATGCTGGAAAGCTTCTTCGCGAGTCATGGATTCAACAGAGACATTTTTTTGGGCAATGACATCCCGCATTCCCAGCACAGATGTATGGTTATCTTGTAAATGGATAAATTTTCCATCATTAAATTCAAATGTTTCAGCTACGCACTTCAATGATGCTGTTGCTCCAGATGTGAATACTAGACTGTAATCTTCTGAGGCTTTGAACCAATCTAAAATTCTTAAAAATAAAAAAAAAATTATGAAAATTAATTTAGCAGATATTTAATAATTTTTTTAACAAATAAATTATGTCATAAAAAAATTGTATTTTAAAAAATTAAAAATACAATTTTTTTAAATAATTTTTTTATTAAAAAAAATTAAAATATTTTGATATTAATTTTAACTTTGATGTCATAAAATTAATTTAACAAATATTTGATAATTTTTAAAATTTTTGTAACAAACAAATTGACAAAAAAATTTAATTGTAAAAATTTAAAAATAATTTTTTTGTTAAATAAAATTGAAAAATTTTCAAATGACTATTAATTAAAATGGCATGAAAATAATTTAACAAATATTTGATAATTTTTGTACTAAATAAATTATGGCAAAAAAAAATTAGAAAAAAAAATTGACTTGTAGAAATTTTAAAAAATTAAAAATGCAATTTCTTTAAATAAATTTATTTGTTAAATAAAATTAAAAAATTTTCAAGTGATTTTTAAGTTTAATGTCATAAAATTAATTTAACAAATATTTTATAATTTTTGTAACAAATAAATTATAGCAAAAGAAAACTTGACTTGTAGAAATTAAAAGAAATTAAAAATAAATTTTTTTTTTTATAAATATGGAAGATAATTACCGAGAGCGAGTTCTTTCAATAATTTCCTGACATTGATTACCGCTGCCGACTGCAGAGTGAGGATTAGTGTACAAACTCTCCGATAAATCTTGATAAATAAATTTTATCTGTGTCTTTGAATATAAAGTAGCACCTGCATGATCCAGATAACACTCGTCATTATTAAAGTCGTTTTTAAACTGCTGAATTGTTATGTTGTCGTACACCTCGGAGTAATTTACAAACTGATCCATCGCTAACGACAGCTCGACTTAAACTAAGTTGTACTTTCTTAAACTTTTCGATATATATAAAATTATTTTATATCTTTTCAATGATATGATGTTTTTAAACAGGTTGTGCAACGTTCACTGACCACTGTTATTAAACAACAGTATTTATGTCGACAGTGAGTAGTGAGATTATCTACTCTTACTAGTTCAATAGTAATGATAATAGTTGGATACTAACGGCTTAATAAGACGTTAAGAGCTTTAGTTAAGTCACTGAGTAATTGGTTAAGAGTCTTGTTAGTTATGCATCAGAAATTTTTTTATTTACTAGTTTGATAAATTTATTATGCAATATTATGTTTTTTTTTTCTAACTCCTTATCTAGGAATTTATTGTTATTATTATTTTTAATAATAATAATAATAATAATAATAATAATAATAATATTTTTAACTATTAATTTTTTATCAATTTATTATTATTATTATTATTATTATTATTATTATTATTATTATTATTATTGTCAAAAAAAATATTATTTTTTAATAAAATTAAAATAAAAAAAAAAAATTAAAACCTGACAATAATAATATTAATAATAATAATAATTTTTAATTAAAAAATTTATTACTATTGTGTTACATTAAAAAAAATGGATTTAATAATAATAATAACAATAATAATAATAAATTTAAATAAAAATATGTTGATGATGTAATATCAAATGAAAATGATACTATGAGACGAGGTGGCCGAGTGGTTAAGGCGTTGGACTGCTAATCCAATGTGCTCTGCACGCGTGGGTTCGAATCCCATCCTCGTCGACCGTTTTTTTTTTTTTATAGTTTCTTATATAATAAAATAAAATGAATAAATAAATGATAAACGTTTGATGATGAATTTATAAAAAAAAAAAAACGTCACTTTAATTTGATTGTTTTATTTATAAAATAAATAAAATTAATGTCGAGTGAAATAATTTTATAAAATAACTTGGATGGATTAAAAATACAATTACAATAAATTATTTTATAATTAAATATGACAAAAAAGCACGTGACGATTAAAATTGACAACAGTGAAGATGAAGAAGAAATTTGGAGGCCGAGAGTTACGAAAAAAAAATCTTTTTTTGATCTAGTACAAAAAATTAAAATAGAACCCGAGATTTATGATACTGTAAATAATTATCCGGTTGTTCGTGAGTCTGTTGGTTCCACGGAATTAGTTGATTTCGGGTATTTAAAGTTCAAGGAGGATACATTGGAGTCCGAGGTATCGTCATGTGGATCAAGCGATTCTTTGTCTGAATTTCCTTGGAAATTATTAAAAGCTGAGCCGACGAAACTTCATGAGATAAAAAGCAGCTGGTTTTTCAACGCATGCTCAGAGGATAGCAGAGATTTATCTTGCTCTTATGTCACTCGTCTTAAATTATTTTTAAGAAAAGTGTTTTTATTAAACAATCCGCTGAAAAAATTATTTACGCGTCTTCAAGATGATAGAGAAGAAACTTACCATGGAATTTTGCCCGTTGATGAGTTCAAGAATTTGCAAGATAAATATTTACGCGAGGGTGTTGTTACGAATGATGACTTGAATTTTGATAAACTTATGATTATGTATCAAAATACAAGTTATGATGAAAGACGTAAACGTTATGTATCTTTTACAAGGCCAAGAAAATTGCCAAGAAGGCGTTCTGGAAAAAAAATATCTAGTGATATTTGATATTGACTTTAATTTTCTTTTTAATTATCAAATTAATTTTTTAAATTGATATTTTTATCAGACCACTCTTTTTTTTATTTTTAATTAATTTCAGAGTGATTTTAACCAATATTTATTTTGTAATTTTTGCATTAAGGATTACAACATGTAATGTTTTATAAATGTACACGGAGAGAAAAATATGAAAATCATTCCTATAATTTTAATGAAATGTTTTCCTATACCATTTTAGGGGCGATTACTTAAATTATGGGAATTGTACCCATAATTTTTGGAAAATGTTACTATAATTATAGGAACGATACCTATAATTATAACTGTAATATCGGCATGATTCCCATAATATATAGAAATAGTTTCTATAATATTATAGGAACCATTACCCACAATATTATAGTGATGATGCCTAATAATATTGAGATATTTATCATTACAACTCAAGTTATTTGTGACTTCGATGACCACTTTGAAGCATTTGAAATTATTAGTAATTTTCGATAATTTTACTTGCTTCTCAATAACATTATTTGAAATAAGTAAAATAAGTAATATTGTTCATATTGAATTTCCATATCTACTTTGCTCCTCTAATTATATAGTGAGAAAATATCCCTTTTATTAGAGAAATTTTAGAATTGCTACAATATTTTTCAATATTATCTAACACAATAATAACTGAGTTGGAATAAACAATTTAAGATTAAGTACACACGTGAATAAAAATTATGAAAAAGAAATTTTTTCACTCCAGTGAAAGATAAATTTTTACTGACAAAAAAAAATTTATTAGCAAAAAAATATATAATAATTACTTTATTTTTTTTGATGTAATTGCTTCATTATTATGAACATAAACATTTTTCTATTATTATTTACGTCATTCCATAATATTATAGGAACCATTCCTATAATTTTTGGAAAGGTTCCTATAAATTTCTCTCCGTGTAGAGAAAATTAAAAAAAAATTAGTCTTAAGAAAATAAATTTTTAATTTATAATTTAATAAAAATTGTGATATTATTTTCTGTAATATCAAAATATTTAAGATTTTAAAGTAACTTTTTTTGTTAAAATAAAAACTATCTTTTAAAAAAAAATAAAAATTATTATAATAAAATTTTCAATCTTAAAAATTAATTTAGATTTAGATTTTGTTTATTGATGCCAAGGCACATCAGGCCAAGTAGCAATTTCTATTACATAGTATATATACAGTTTTTACAAGAAAACAATTTTTGTGAGTACATAATATAGTATTGCATAAAATTAATTTAAATTTAAATAATTTGTTTATAAAAAAACTAACATTAAATTAAAATTGAAAATTAATATAGAAAATAAGAATTTAAAATATAGAATTTTAATTTCACCAATTCAGATCTACGAATTGCACTTACTTTAATCTTTAAGGTATTAAATTTTAATTTGTTATTTATTAGACGTCATTTTAATGATCAAGATTTAATAAGTAATTGAAAACTTCTATTTTGAAGACTTCATACCCCAAAAAAAAAATAAAATAATTAAATTTGACTAAATTAACATTTTTTTATTAATTTTAAACTTAACAATTACTTGATATATTTTTTTTTTGTGAAAATAAAAATTAATTTAAAAAAATTAATAACAATGTCCAAGAAAAATTAATAATTAATTATTAAAAAAACAAAACAATTGACTTTGACCCCGACGTGATTTGAACACGCAACCTTCTGATCTGGAGTCAGACGCGCTACCGTTGCGCCACGGAGTCTTTGTGCCTAACTTCCTAAAATAGTCTATTAAGAAATTGGCCTACTGATTCTACATAATTTAATCAATTTCAACAAATTAGCACAATTTACATAATTAATTATCAAAGTAATTACAAAAAAAAATTACATAACAAACCAAAAAAAAAAAAAATAATTAAATCTTTCTAGGATCAAAAAAAGCGGGGAAATATTGTAGAGGTGCTGACAAAAAATTGTCGAGAAGTGTCCGTAGAGCCCCTCCGACTAACAGGAAATCATGTACAAAGATTTCGGGAACGAAATATGTGACCGGTTGATAATTCGCGGCTAACCAGGAACGGGAACGGGAAGAAACTAAAAAAAACGGAGAAACTGACGTCTAAACTTGAATTATAGTAGCGATTGCGGACTTACTCTCAATTACATACTTATAAATATACACAGTAAAAAATTTTGTCTCAAAAAACTTAGTGTTAAAAATTTTTATGTTAAATATTTAACACTTTTTTGTGTAGATTTAAAAGAATAAATGTTAAATTTACACATAAGAGTGTTAAATAAAATAGAATAGAATATGACAAATATTTTTTGGTACAAATAAATCCTTCTATCAGTCTATAAATATACTTAAGTTTTATTTATCTCCCGTTTTAAAATTTCTATCATTGATTCACTGTAAATATCGTTGTTTACCTCTTTTACCCGTGTAAAAATGATATGATATCATTATGAGGCTCATAATGAATATCATAATGAATCTCATATTTTGGCACTAATATGAGATTCATATAAGAGCCATATCAATACTTTAAAAACCCGTAATAAGTAAAATACCTGTGGGAACGAATTTTTTTTCAGTAGATCAGTAAAAATTTCATTTTTTCTGTTAATCAGAGGAAATGTATAATAATTGAGAAAAACAGTATTTTTATCATGCACTATATTGTTGAACTACTTAAATTTTTTCCTTGTCTTTCTTAACTTGGAATAATATTTAGAAAAACACTATCTTGGTTTAAAAAAATTTTTTGACTGAAAAGATTTTTTCGTCTCAAGATAATTATTTTCTTATTTTGAAAACAATTTAAATCCTTCTAAAAATTTCTTTAATTTAATTATTTTGCAATATTTCCTGTATACAGTTATGACTCAATAATTTTATATCACGATTTAAAAAGACTAACAATATCATTATGATTTTATAAAGATATGACCATCATTTAATTATTAATTCATTTTAATATCATTATGATTTCATAATGAAATTATGTCAATATCATCATGGAGATACTGTCCTAATGAATTTCCAACAGTTACAAAAAAGTTTTTTTCTTGAATTATGAATAGAAGGCAACAATATCATTATAATATTATGATGAATTTAAAAAAATATCAGCCTGATTCCATCATAAGTTTACGCAGTTACTATTATGACTTCAGTATGAAATTATGCGTTTGTCACTATGGATTTGTCACGAATCTCCATAAGACCGATCCGTGTGGATCAAATTTTATATTTAATAATAATTTTAAATTACTGGAAATTTGCTTTCTCCA